TCATATTTCATAAGTGAATTATGTTAAAGTGATCAGCATCAACTTTGGTGATGGTTGAGAGTTATGGCATACAGTTAGCAGACTAAGATAGAGGCGGACCTATATTATAAAGAGAGGGATCATAGCGCCCAAAAAAGTTCGGGAAAATTTTAATAGTGATATATTAGTAATAGTATCCTATATACAAAGCAAATTTTGATTGAATGCAAAATTACACTCGCGACCTTTATATCTTGAGTCCGCCTCTGCTCGCGCACGATCAGCACGACTCAATTCAGCCTAACCTAATACGCATAAATATGGAGTATTGCAAGTTGCCTAATAAAAATTAGTAGAAGTACACACAAATTATAAGGCCATAAATTAAAGGTTCGAAACTACTCCCGCAAGTGACTTTATTCTATTATAGAGTAATCTATATTTACTTAAAAGGAAAGAAGTCTGCCCTAAAAATTTGCCAAGTGTTCCACATATAAAATGCCATGTGGCAAATTTGGACAAATTAGTTATTTTAGGTAAAATGAGTTTCTCTTTTTAAAATTTGAAATTGAAAACAGCTAATTAGGTTTTCTATATTTTAAAAAAAAGGAAGTAGTTTCTACGTTTTTCTATATTTAAAAAGAAGAAGAAGTGGTTTCTACGTTTTTTTAAAAAGAAAATGTCATTCCTATTAAATAGGTATATAGATACATTTTGAAACCTCTAAGAACGGTAATTGGGAACGCCATTTTCATCTATTTGCCCTAAAAGTTTCATCCTCCAAATTCGGCACCTCAATCCCACGACCACGATGTCTCACCACGATATCAACTCCTTACCCACGAACTCTTCTGCCCAGGATTCTAGTAATATAATTTCACATTTTTATCAAATCAGTTGTAAAATCAGTTCTACTTTTACAATATATATTTCTGTTCTTTCTCCGTCGTGTGCATATCAAACAACAATTCTAGAGTAGAAGAGGTGATTGGTATAATTTGTATTTCATGAACAATCTTTATTCCACTTGAGATTGTATTCCTTTAACAGATAATTTCCGTGAAGTTTTAATTTCTACTTATATTTACAAATACCTCTGTCTATTTCAGGATATAATGGCGGCTGAAATTAATTTCGTTAGTGAAATTAACATCAAGTCAATGAATTGGAAGTTAAAGATTCGTATTCTCAGGCTTTGGAAAAATCCGGATCGCGACAGGCCTGACAACCCTTTTTCATTTGAGATTGTTCTGATGGATGAAAAAGTATTGTTTAAAACTTTATAATTACTTTCTATTTATCATTGTTTACATATGCGTAAGTATATTACAGTCATATACGGAATAACTTAGACATTTTAACTAATTGAGTTTTTTTATAGGGCGACCGCATTCACGCAAGTATTAGCAGGTCTTTTATCCAAAGGTTCAAACAGCAAATTAAGGAAATGAGTTTGTACATCATAAAGAATTTCGTGGTTTGTCCAAATAATATGAAGCTGAAGACCAAAGACCACAACTTTAAGTTGATGTTCACGCATAAGACCACGGTTGACGAAATACACGATCCACATTTCAACACGTGTATTTTCAAATTTAGAACCTATGAGCAGCTGTCAAAAATCTCCAAGAATTTGACAATACTGAGCTATTTGGTAATTAAATTTCTCTCCTTTTTTTGCAGTTTCATTTTACTTTGCCTTATTTGTTTTCTATCTTATGAGTTCTAAGTGTGAACTAAATCAATACTAATTATAGTACATAAGATCAAAGATTAAGTTTTAGATTAAAGCTGGATTTCTTGATATTGTTAAATCCTCTGTCGAAAATCATAATCTGATTTATAGAAGGCCTTTGTAGGCGTATGAAACTAAAGAAAGGTTAGTACTGTACCATTACTCTGAAGATCTTCAGTACATGGGTATAGTCTTGGTACTATTTTACATAGTATTTACAGATAGTATTTCAGTGGTTTTATTAAGGCCTAAGATTACCTTTTGATCTCTTACTTCCATAGGTAGCTAATGGAGTTCATGCCCACAGTTTCCTTTGCATTCTCTGAAACCTTCCCTTTTAACAAAAGTCAATATGAAACTAGAAGATATAAACCAAGAGTCTGTTAAGTTGGAGGTACCAGAAGATTTAATGATTTGGCATAAATTTCCCCACTGATAAACCGGTACAATTTCAACGTTACTGGTAATTTTGCGTGTTGCAGTAACAATTATAATTAAGAATCAAACCACAGACTAAATTCTTCTATTTAGGTCTTGAACACTATCAGGTATTAGATGTTGAGTGATTGCGTACCTCAACCTCAACACACCTGTTCAAACTCTAGGAGAGAGGGGAAAACCAAAATTAAAAGAAATGGGTGAAACCACACATTTCAAGCTCTATGAGATCATTGGAGATGTTTAACTGGTAGTGAAGAATCACAGAAGCTTAACACTGAAAACATCGGTACAAGGTTGAGTCTAGTAAGAAGTATGAAGAGTCGAAAGAGTTTAACACAAAGTATTCACTTAAATGATTGGTTATTCAGGATAATGAAAACAATTATGTGATTAAGCTCTACTAACTAATAGGGGAGGCCCAGTGGTACTACTCTTCACTGGATCATGATGGTTCATGACGATATGTTGAAGAACATTTTTATAATTACTTGATCAGTAGGTGAAACATTTGATGGACTGTAAAAGTGAGGCTATGAACGAAGAGGCATTTTGCATCAGAAACTTATGATTTCATTTTAGTTTCCCATCTTCTACTATACTCTTTTAATATTAGTAGCTTTATTTAGTGTATTATTCGTCGAATTTAGCTTATGCTTAATAAAACACTTACTATGAGAATTAAAGCATTATCTTTGTAACAATTTAATCGATTCTAATAAGGAACAAACAAAATATGTACATCGTATTACATTTACTTTTTACTTTTATTGTTGTAGCTTCTGTTAATCACACTCATTATGTCTTTTTTTGTTAGACTTCTGATGCTGCAGACTACTCTTCATGTCCAATGGAAATATAAAATATTGTTGAAAAAGGTACATGTTTAAAGTTGAGGTTAAGAGTTCTAACAATCACAATAAAGATGAAGTCTTAAAAGTTGTTACACGACGAGGAAATTATAAAGAACATGCAAGGAAAATTCTTCTAATGTCTAAGGTTTGCTTCTGACCAACTAACTATTTAGTCTAACTTTTTCTCTATGAAGTTGCCTATTCACTTTATTGCATCATTGTTTTGTGTTTGTAGATGGCTTTCGTGGTACTTGAGAGCCATACACAACACACTAATTTTGCAGAAAATTTAATTAAATGATAGATTTAATCTGACTCCTTTTCCCAAAAATTGAAGAAATAACATCATGAGTTGGAACTAAACTAGGCGAGATCCTTTTATACTGAACATCTGGGATCATGAGAAGGTTAGAGATCCTTTCCACTCTTGTGTTTC